CCGGGACTGGCGGGGCGGGGGGTGGGCGCCCGTGCTGGGGACAGGCCTGGTTGTCCCTCAGCGACCAGGTTGTCCCTCGTTTGCCTTCACCTAGAGGCCGCGCCTTAAAAAAAAAAACCGGAAAACTCCCCGTAATTGTCGTTTTTATGCGTCTGGTGTGTTTAACAAGTTGTAAGGATGCTGTGTTTTCTGCCTCATGACGTTGTTTTGAAGGCGTGCGTGGCCATAGGACATAAGCAGACCTTACTTTTGAGCTCTTAGGTGTGTTAAAACCAACGGCAAAGAAAGTGCTGGCCATCCATGTTGGTAATTTGAGAGTATCCATTCATGGGAACGGTGTGGCTTGGATATCTGCCCCCCACCCCGGTGTCCCTGGGGTTAATGGTCATCCCTGATGAGGAATAATAATACAATAAAAGAGGTGAAGGCCTTGACATCAACCGGGCTTTATATCAACTACAGCCTTTATATGAACTCTAGCAACCAGGTTATCCCTTGTTTGCCTTCACCTAGAGGTCACATCATAAAAAAAATGGAAAACTCCTAGCACTGTTGTCATTTTTCTGTGTCTAGTATGTTTAACAAGTTCTAAGGATGCTGTGTAATGACATCGTTTAGAAAGTATGTGTGACCGTGCGTCGTAGGTCAGTGTGTTATGTGTGAGTAAATAAGCAGGTCTTACTTTTGAGCGCTTAGGTATGTTAAAACAAACAGCAAAGAAAATGCTAGCAATGCATGTCGGTATTTGAAAGTATCTGTTCATGGGAACAGTGTGGTTTGGATTTCCATCCCCGCCCCGGTGTCCCTGAGGTTAATGGTCATCCTTAATGAGGAATAAAAATAATAGGCTAAGGCCTTTATATCAGTGGCATAAACCAGATGGATTTGTGTAAGCCTTTTGTTCCAGCACAGCAAAACAGCCATAATTACATTCTTACACCTATTTCTCATCTGGAAAGTGCTTGAAGCGCTTACCGTGCATATTCAGCATTGCTATAATGTGCCCATTCAAGGCTGACGTTAAGGCTCTGTTGGATGTGATGCAGGATTGTAATGGATGTGAATTTATTAGCAAGCTTAATCCCTTAGGTTTTGGGTTGGATGTCGTTTGAGGTGTTGCATGCAGCTTCAGATGAATGATGCCATACAGCTTCTTCAGTTCATTTTAGTACATTCCATATATAGTATCATCATGCAGTCAGTGCGACACATACTCTTGAGGGGCTCTTTTCTACAGAGAAGTAAAATAGAAATTAAAAAAAGCTTCCTAACTTTTGTGGTTTTGAGTACTTACTATTGCTAAGTGTTTTAAATTTACTAAACCCACTGCTGTAATGTTGTAGGTAGCTAGGTCAAAAACAGGGTGTTTATTACGAAGAAGCAGGGAACCTTACATTTGCTGTTCCAGGGTTTTTGTTTCTGTGAGAAAATAAGTTGTGTTCTTTAGTCTTCCCACATCTGAAATAGAAGATAGGAATAGCTGCCTCAAAATTTTAATACTGCAGATGCAACTCTGGCATTATTCTGTCTTAGTTAAGGTATATTCAGGGGTGGGAGGGCATGTTTTATGTTTTGGTTTCCCCAAAAGAAGGGATTTCACTGTAGACCCCCCCTGATATTATTGTAGTTATACAGCTTCAGAGCTGCATGGCTAAGTTCTGTAAACGTAGTTAAACCAAAACTGATGTGCATATATGCACTTTGTATCTAACACTTTGGGGTTCTGATCTCAGTTGTACCTTTTAGGCACTTCTCTAATATGTTTTAGGTGTATTTTCTTACAGAAAAGGCTTGAATGTTTTCTGAGTAAAAGCTGCTGTTTCTTACAAGCTATTTTTAGACTAATATGGAAGATGCTGTTGTTTAGCAGTAACTACCAACAAATGCAAATCTACTTTCCTTCTGTGAAGCTTGATGTCATGTAGCTGGCCTCAAAATGCCAAAATAAAGTATAGTATGACATTTATCTTCAGTGTATTCTACATCTAGTATAATATACTAAGATTTTCTCTGTGTTGATCTATCTGATTATTTTGAATTGGTGAATGATTCACTACCTTTAAAACTAGTCATGGTTTGCCATGTGCCTGCTTCAGATTTTCATCTAAAGAATATACCAGCTCGTTCTGCTGCTTGCATGAGCCTCATGGACCATAGTTGTCAATTTGTTGCTCAAAAAAATAAGAAAATATATCAAATGAGCCTACAGTTGGGCTGAAAGTAGCCTGTGAGAGGTTTACACTTAGGGTGCATCTCCAGACGTGGTGGCATTGAGAGGTGATTGTCCAAATAACAATTACATCTTCGCCTGCCATGGCTGAAACTAGAAAGGCAAAGATGCAGGTTGATAGTAGAAAAAGGAAGGGTGTGACTCCTTTGCTGTCTATACTTATCCTTCCCATCCCAGCCATCCTTCACTTTTTGGGCCTGACATCAGTGAATACAAATTTGGTTGAAGCTGTGAATGTGTAGTAGAGTGAATGAGCCTTTGATGCTGGCAGCAGCAACAGCAAGCCTTGTCTCTGGAGCTGAGTAACAGCAGGGATCCCGCACTCCCTGCTTCCCGTTTTTCTTCTGGCTGCAGTAGGAAATGGGGGATGACTGTTTACCTGAGGCAGCTGCTGGGAAGTGGGATGGGGAGGGATATACATATAAATATAAATGCCCAAGTAGGGAGTGGTGATCCCGTAAGTAGGCTCATGCAAGACTTGGCTCAAATATATCCAAAGAGATTATAGTTTATTCTGCCCTGTTGCGAGAGGATAGTGTACTAGGAAAATTATTTGTTTAGTTTTCATCAATAAAGTGCTGTGACAATTTTGAACTAGTAGGGAAGAATTTGTGGAAAAAGATATACAAGGTACAGTGGCTTCAGTGAATAAAGTAATTTATTAAGAAGGTAAAAAAACAAGTCACTACTTAAACAAAATATGTCTGACCAAAAATATTTGGGAAATATAACTAGGGTGCTTAGTGTTGTTTATTATTAGTTGTGCATTGAAAAAGCAGAAGGTATTTCTTTTTCCGGTCTAATCTATGAATTCCAAGTATGCATGGGAGACTGAGATCTACCAGTTCAAAAACATGAGATCACAATGTTTAGGAGCAGTTAGTTCAGTACCTACAAGTAGTATTTCCTTTGGTAAGTAAATAAGATGTATTTAAATAGAGAACAAGGTTTTGTATTTTTTCCTTGTGTAGCTTCTATAATACTAAGTAAACAAAAGTACAGATAATGAACACGTCCCAGTTTCTTCCAGAAGCAGCTTGGCATACCATCCTGACAGAAAATAGCAACACACAATTTTGTAATAATAAAGTAATAAAGAAAAAGCACTCACCAGTTTCTATAAGAATGATAATGTAAATCTGAATAAGTATAGTGAACTGTTTAATAGTGTTCATTAACATGGTATGTAGCTCAATTTAAAAAAACATTAGTAGAGAAAATATTATGTTTAGTTTTATAGAATCAAATTTGGCATTGTCTACTGTGTGCGGAATTAAATCACGCAAATGTTCAGATATAATAATAATAATTGAAGAGCAGGATGTAAGTCACTTCATCCCCATTGGTGTCGCCTTAACTGTTAATAATTTGTCATTTGTCCATTTGTTTTTTCAGTGCTGGGAAGGTATGTAGAAATACAAACCTTAAGCAATCAATGAAAGTATAAAATTTCTTTAAAAGGTGATTTACAGTCTTTGGTGTTACAGATTAATCTGCAGCATGACCTTGTAGGCAATCCCTGGCTTGCTTCCATCAAGGCTGCTGTCTTTCCTGGAGGAAGCAGGGAATGGCTTAGTGATTCTTGCCAGCTACAGCCCAGCACGAAGCACAGCGCTAGGAAAGACCTTGCATAAGTGTGCAGAGATGCACTGTTTTAGCTGCTGGGGTACATGCTTTTTCATGGGAGTAGGTGCTCTCCTCTCCTTCAGAGCAGTGGAAGGGGCAGCTCTGCAACTCATAGGAAC